GTGGGAATGTTCACATGTTGGTAATATTTGGGAAGTACAGTCTGTAAATTGCACTGGTTAAAAGTCGCCTGCAGCGATAAATACAGCATCGAGGTGCGCTGTCTCTAGCGTGCTGATGACATCATAGAGTTTGCTGAGAGCTGCAGAGGGATTAGCTCTTGGGCTAACATACACAGCACCCAGAAACACAGCACTATGCTCTCTTGCTAGTAAATAGGGCTGGCATTTCAGTCTCTGGGGTCCAGAGTTTAATTTGTTTGGTGACAGGGTTTGTTTGTTTCAGTCTTTGCAACATTAAATATCCGATATCTTAGCAACAAGTCATTATTAGTCAATGACCTTGTCAAAACTAATCTCGATTTTATGCTTTTATCTGAAATGTGGTTAAACAGTAGTAACAGTGCATCAGTTCTTACTGAGTCAGCCCCTCCACCAGACATTTGTTTCTAGATCTGACAGAAGAGGTGAAGGTGTTGCTGCTTTATTTAAACAGTCATTACAGTGCAAACTGTTGTGTGATTTAGACTCTGGGTATCTTAGTAATAATAAACCAATAGTATAATATACAACATATTGTAATTCTGTAACATTTGTAATGACTACTTTGAGCAGTGATACTTTAAATATATTTTGCTTTCCACTATAACTTGTTTCAACTGAAAAATCTTTTAGGGTTTGTTAACAAGTTTTAACTGAAGCCTGAAGAGTGACCAACAGAGACAAGTGAATGGTTCAGTTGTCAGAGTTTGGTGGGTTCAGCTTTGATATTTTCTCTTTACAGTACAGTTTGTACTATTAGTTTTGTCTGGTAATTACTGCTGAATGTTTTTTTCTGGTTATGAAGTTGGTGACATAAAAATAACAGAGCATTAGCATCTGAAGACAGGCAAAATTTAATGTTTGCTGCTATCTGCTCAGTGTTCATGCATCTTTCATATGTGTCGTCCTAAGTAAGAATGACAGACATATTATATATGAATTTTAGATTCAAATCTGACCAATAAAGTTTGTTTCAGAAAAATTGAATTATCTTCTCTCTCTTAGCTCTGAAAATGTGTAGGGTTGATAAACTGATGATAATCTGGAAATGCAAAGGGCTGATAAAGGATAAATGACCTGCCCAATGCATGTGCAGTGCACTGTGGATGTCAGTCTGGCCTTGACTGGAAATACTAACAATCCAAGATAAAACAATAATCACCCATTTATAATGTCTACTCACAAGTTTAATCATCCTGGCGTACAGTGAGCAAACTATTCGGTGATGGCTATAACAGCTAACGTCTGTTAAAATAAACTGAATCACAAGAAAAGGAAAGCTATAATATTAGACTTAAACACATCACAGCTGTAAGGTTCACACAGGGTTGTTTTGTATAAGGAAAGTAATAACCTAACTTTGACCACAGGGTGGAGCCCTGACTCAGATGCACACTGTGCCAAAGAATTTGAGAGCGTTCCTATGGAAGCTCAATATATGAGTTAAATGATGTTTACCCATTATTTGGGTGCTGTATTTGGGAACTGGTGAGGAGTTGTTGATGCTGGAACACCGGGACCCCACAGGTGAGTCGAACAATGGATGACAAGTTGTGAGCAGTGACTGTCTATTATTCTGACACTTCTGCCCCCTCCCCTCCTCTGCCAGCTGCCTGCCATAAAAAGCCTTTATTATGCATCTTTCCTGTGAGAGCGGAACAGAGCATCCAATCACAGACTAGGGTTATTACATAAAAGCATTTTTATTACAATAACAACAAAGGGGAACTCCTGTGACTGAGATGTTTAAACAGACCCACAAGAGACCAGAATCTCATACTGTTGGTGGAGGATCTTGAAGACAGCATCTCACTGGCTGCCAACGTTGATTCAGCATATGCTGTATGTTGCACCTGTCGCAATCTGAGATACCATCTGTAACTGACAACCAGGGAATTGATCAGAATTCAAATAATAAAGGTGAGTTTTTCCTCAAAAGCTTTTGCTTAAGTATTTAAGGGAGATCTTGTTAATTATAGTAGTAGTGGACCTATAGTAAAACAGAATTCAACCTCTGAACAGGGCTTCTGGTTGTCAAAAAACTGGCTGTCAACAGGGAAATAATCTGAAATAAATAAGGTATGATATTTAATCCACAAAATAGATTTTAAATATGTGGGGGATTAGACTGAATAAATAAGGTTAGCTTTTGTTTAAAAATGGTGTTTTTCTCTAACAGATCCTCAACCACTGAATGACCAGTATTTCTTTGAAAACAATGTCTGTGACCACCAAGTTTATCTGAATAAATAAGGTATGATTATATCCACAAATGAGTTTTGTTTAACTATTTAAATTGGCTAAATACATTGTTTTCTCCCTATGAGATCCTCAACAGCTGCAGCTCAAGTAACACAAGCCACCAGCCGCGGTGTTTCAGATTGTGACAAACCCAGAAATACAGTAAAACTAGTTGCGTATGGAGCCGACATCTGGGCCACAAACGAAAGCACTGCATAGTTCTCAGTCTTTAAAATGTTTTCAGCATGTTCTGACAGTGAAGTAAACCATGGAGAGCTGCCTGCAGATTTTATCTTTGCATTTAGCGCCCTCTACTGGCCATTCAATCACTGTAATAGAGCAGTCAGCAGTCAAGACAATAGAGCAGTCAAGACAGGTAACGACTTTCACCGATACTGGGCTATAACGACTCAGTCGTTAAGGGACATTGTTGGCCTTCTAAGGACTGAAACACCACCGAAACTCCGGCTCAACACCAGCCAAACCGACGAAGCCTCTTGAATGAGAGGTGAAACGTCTTCGACCTAGAAATCTAGTCCAGTTGATTTTTTCTAAGTTTTTTTCAATTCTCACTGTTAGTTACCAGCAATAGAGGAAGCTAAATGATTTTGTCTTCAAAATAAGAGTGTAAACCTGTGCCTGTAATTTCTAAAAATGGTATAAAGACTATGAATGCTGCCATCTTACCATGACTCCCTTTTAGTAAACGTTTCCCTCTGATATGTAGTGGGCCAGTATTATAGTGCAACTCTGGCTCTCATCTGACCTAAGAACTGATTGATTTAGATGCTGGATCAACATGACGTTTTCGCTCCGTTCGACAGTAGGGCCTTTACTTTGAAGGTGACACAGGAAGCATCGGTGTGATTTGTGGTCCGAACGCAGCTGGCAGCGCACACGGAAGCGTCTCCACCTGTTGAACGACTTAGTTTTCTTTCCTCTTTTCAGACACTGAAACAGCTATCGCAGACTGTGTATTTCGTGAGTAAGGCAACAATCGGTATCGTGATGTTTGGTCGTTTTTTTTTAGCTGTTAGCTAACACCACTTTCTGGGAGTTAAAAATTCAGAAACGTCAGCCAGGTGCTGTAGGTAGGTAGACTACTGTGGGTAGACTGACTATTATTAACATAAGGAAACAAGCAGGCTGTCTGGCCGCCCAGAAAAGCGAATATCTGAGCTCAAAGTCCGGTTAAACAAAGGTGTTTGAACTAACGTCATGATCCAGTAAAGCAGCCGCGTTGTTCGTGGGTTACTGCCAAACTGAAAGTGGGTTATCTCTGAGGAAACGGAGAGTTAGTAAGTCGGCTAAAAATTGATATCATTCATATTTGTCTGACTGCATCGCCTGAGCTTACACAGAAATTAATAATCCTAAAAAGTGTATGAAATCTTACAGTCAAAAGATAAAACATTATTTAACCAGTTTTAAAATACTATAATAATATAGGTCTAATAATGTTTTATAGTAATAAAATATGAAATGTACTTTAATCAATAATTAAATACATTTATTCTTTAAAGAAAATCACCACAGCATTTGTATGCTTCATTATAAAGAATATAGTTTTCTGTTTGCAGGCACTAACAATGCAGGCGAGTGAAACAGCACTACCTGGGGCCTTATGAGTAGGAAAGGATGAACTGTTTTCCTCTGCTGCTTTATCTAATGTTGATGCTCAGCTCTGGTGAGTAAACCAGCTTCACAGATAAGTTTGGTTAGTTACATTTTTACAGCAAGTTGTGGTTAGTTGGTGGAAAGGCTCAGATACCATTTTTCTCTTCACACCGACTAAGTGCTGTGACTGCTGACTGGTCCTTTAAGTGCCAGGTGTGTCTTGTACCTTGTGCTTCAACCACAGCACCATATGAGTCAGACTACATCACATGTCAACTTGTTTACGCAGCGCTGAGTTCCCTTCCTGCTCCGGTCAACGTTTGTGTCAAATCTGTCAACTTCAGACATGAACTGCATTGGGAGCCTGGGCCCGGGACCCCATCAGGAGCACAGTACATGATCTTCGAGAGGTAATTTCCTTGTCCACCATGTTTTTGTTGGTTTTTGCTTTCATTTCCTCCTACACACATCCTGATGCCATTTTCTCTTTGGGTAGAAAACGGTGTCCCATCAGACTGTGTTCTGCAGCTTTGATATTTGACATTTGAGCTTCACTGTTTCCCAGACCACAATATGTCTGTAGCAGCAAGCATATAAACTATCAAGTACCCAAGGTTGACATGGAATTTCTGGTCAAATACGTCATCAAATCTCAATTACAAATATGAGTGGCTACACTACAAAAGGAAATAATAATAATAATAAATAAAATACAATGACAGAAATATTGAAAAAAACAAAACAAATGAGGGAAAACTAGCGTGAAGCACAGCCTAATTGACATCAAGGCATCATTCAGGTCTTTCTACAATGGCTGATAATTCAGTACACTGTGGTTCTTCAGGAAATTGTCAGAAGTATGCCAACATTTCCAAAACCTGTCAAGCTTCTTTTGTGAAACTGTTTATGTTTTCTACTGTAACCCAAGGCCAGAAGTGTCCTTCCTTTAGCCACTAACAGGCTATGGATTGGTTTGCTTCTCAGAGGTAAAGGTTTGTTAAATTAATTAATTTTCCATTTGCAGTTTGACCTCTTGTGTTGCATGGGGAAAAAAAATTAAAATTTTTTCTAAAAAGCACTGTTAAAGGCAGGGTGAGGCCAGGTATCATGTTGACCTTTATATTTCTGAGAAATAGCTTAAATTTAGCTGTTTTCCATAGTTTACAGCTTCAACTGTTTATTCTCTTTGTGCTGGTTCTGGTTATGTTCTCTCTTTAAAGATACTGGTGTGATACAAGCATGGCATGTAGACTTTGAAAAGTAAGGATCTTGACTAAAATTGGAAATTCAGGTTTGAATAGTGCTTGCTAAATCTGCTGAGAGTGTTGTCTGTTAGTCATCAGGACATGCCCTGCTTCACCTTTAATGCACCAGACTTGCCGTTAATGTGCGCACTTAGAGAACTTAATAGCAGCATTTCAGGTGCGCTCACTTTCAGTGTCACCTCTAAATCAAGTGGAAGCTTATCTGGCTAAACTGTCAGCCTGTTTACAACCCATTTGATTGACTAACTACTCTTGGGCTTTAAAAAAAAACTGTTGTAATATTGTGGTGTTTTCAAATGCGTCTTCAAAGTAAGTCCTAAAAGTGTTCAGAATAGTGAAAATTTTGATGAGGTACTATACATTTCCATATCAACAGAGCTACTTTATCTGCTGATGAATCCATTGTAATAAAGCTCAAGAACAAGTGAATCTAATCTTTTGTTTTGACAGTCACTGTGAAGCTTCACCTTTCATTGTAACCGTACTTACCTGCATTCACACAAGTGAATACATACAGTATCACTATTTCATTGCTGAATTTGAACCAATAATGTGTTTAAAATGTTGGTCACATCTTCACTGTGTTAATAAGTTATAAAGGTTAAGTTTGGTGATACAGTTCCTATTTTTCTTCTTGTTGACAAATTCCACGGACAAATCCAAACCAACAAGTGCATCCTACTGTTCAGTGTTGTGTATCAGAATGATACATCTTTGTCCTCTGTGTCATAGACCTCCATTGTCCTCCAGAAATTTCTAAAACATCAGTGAAATACACTGTTACACTGGGCAACCCTCTTTCATCACCATGAGCATCCACACTGTAGTTTTTGGTTCAGTCCCACATACATCTCCTGCAGCAACAACTACTCAGAGCAGCAAATGTGGATTAATCCATTGCTGATAGGCAATGGATTAGGCCTCTCACATGCAGAGTTTCATATTGTCTGAGTTAAAAATTTAATGGCTGTCTGATTTTTTGGGGGGGAAATTCAACTGCAATATATATTTGTGAGCTTTAGTTATTGGCCCATGAAAATACAACATCGATACTGTATATTATCACCCTGAAAGTTGTTCTGGTGCACATGTTTGCCTATTTAGATGTCCAGCTCAGCATTTATTTGGAGGGATGTCTGTGCGCACATGATGAATGTAACTCAAATATAACCTCTGTTTTTTTTTTTTAAGCTCTAGTGTTTAGCTGCACCAACTCCTAAGGGAAATATCTGGTTCTTTAGCTGCCAAATGCTCCACTGTGTTCAACAGCTAGTCTCTAAATGTGCCTATCTTCTGATGAGGGGCAGGTTTATCAGAGCTTTATCATTGAAAACAGCTAGTGTTGGAAACCAAGTTAAAGTAAAATTGTTCCAGTGCATCTGTATCTGTAAAGAGTACCAGGCTTGGTCAAAGTTCATTCACACTATAACCACATTATAACCACTGCAGGGATTTGTTCCTCCTCATGGTGTATTCGGCGCCGACAGCGATGGCGACCGTGGTTACTCGCGCTCTCTTGTGTTTGTTGTTTTGTTTTCTTGGTCTTGTGCAACTCATCCTGGATTACTTTTACCAGAGAAGAGCTGTTAAATATCGGACAGCTCACACCAAACTACCTTCCTCCGAGTTTTGTGAACGAAGAATGCTGTATGGACATTCTGATCGGAGGTGCAGCAGCAATATATAGGACCCGGAAAAAACTCAGCTGGTGTGGAAAACATGCTGACGCCTTGGTGCAGTTACAACAGAGGGGAACACGGACCTCACTCCCATCTCTCATCGTGGCTGTGGCTCACGAGGTAGGGCAAGTCGTCGACTGACCAGCAAGTTGGTAGTTCGACTCCCGAACTCCCCACATGCCTAAGTGTCCCTGACCAAGACACTGAACCCCAAATTGCTCCCGGTGGCTTGACTAGCGCCGTTGTGTGGCAGCCTTGTCGTCATCAGTGTGTGAATGTGTGTGTGAATGGGTGAATGGTGTATGATCTCCCTGTAAAGCGCTTTGGCCAGTGCAACACACTGAAAAATGCGCTATATAAATACAGTCCATTTACCATCTATTCACCTGGCTAATCTCTGCTCCCTGGTCAATAAAATGGATGAAATTCTTCTTGTCAACAGGACTAACTCTGACTTTGCACGCTCTGCTGCTTTGTGCTTCATGGAGACCTGGCTCAGTGACTCGATCGCAGACAGTGTGATTCGAATACCGGGTTTCCAGGTGTTCAGAGTGGATCGTGCCAAGAAGCTGTCCGGGAAAACGAGAGGAGGGGGAATCTGCTTCTACATAAATGAAGGTTGGTGCACAGATGTCAC